GGTATATTCAAGATAAGATTTATGAACTATTTGCTTTGGTTGGCTTCAAACTGAGAGCTTCCTGATCTCTGCCTCCTGAGCAGCTAGGATTACAGGTGTAAGCCATCAACTCCGGGCTTTGTGTCTTTCTTTAAGCATATTTAGCTATTGAGTGTGTAAAGCAACCAGTTGTGGTTTTACCAGGGAAATAGATCAGGAAAAGAGCTGAGGGAGAAATGACAGCAAATGCAAAAGAATCTAAGTGATGTAAGGAGTTAAGAGTATGTGAGGGACCAAGGAGTCATGTAGAGTCAAGGTAGTGGAGTCAAGGTAGAACAATCAACGGATGGGGAGTCTAGGTGTGATTAAAGAACTCTTATATTCAAAATACTAGATGGAATGAGATAGAAAAATTAAAATGCAGTTTACATCTGAGATAATGTATGAGGTAGTTTTATAATTTGTGGTAGCTGGGGAAGATAGGTGAGAGAAGACATCAAGGAACTGAGAAGATATGGCATTAGATGCCCCACCTGTGTGCATGTAGAAATTCCAAAGAAATATAGGAGGGGCAGTGATAGAAAAATAGTCAGATGCTATAATATGGAGTGAGGAGGGGAGAACTAGGGGTCAGATGATAGTAATGAGAGAGTACAGCTTAGTCTGATGGCATGAACTACAAAAAAATCTAGGATTAAAAGAGAACAGAAGGGTAATAGCCTGGCTGTGGTAATGGAGAACAAGAAAAATGCATCACCTCCAAACTTAGTGACTTGAGGATGAAGTAGTAGTATTTTGTGGTTTTAGTTAAAGCAAAAAGGTGAAAGGAAGGTTCACTGAAGAGGTTGAGGAAAGAGATTATTTTGCTGAAGATGGAACTTGAGTTTCAGAGGTCATAAAGCAAGAATATACAAGGGTTGGGGAGTATAACACAGTATCAAATTAAGAGATTTATCATCCTGAATAAGGCATTTTTTATATATACTAGATTTGGTAAAGTACTTCTGTTGACTAGAAAAAGGTGTGTTGTGGAGAATAGAATTTTATACATTTGAACCTCAAGATATTACATAGGATTGATTTTCCTGTTGCTCACAGATCATAGGCCAGACTTACAATGTGAAATTAGCTAGAGTGCTTATTGCCTGGCTAGTTCTGTCCACCCAATGCCACCCACATGAAGGGACTGTGTTTGTCCCTTCATTCTTGCCTTGTGCCCTTGCAAATGGGAAGGTTTACATGCCTCCTTTTTGGACAGCAGAGAGCTAGCTGGGTGGCTTCTGAGGCTCCTTCAGGAAAGCTCTGCGTTCGAGTTCCGGTCCCACAAAGCATAATTTGTTTTTGGAAAAATAAGGACATATTAACCTTTTTATTGACTGAAGAGATTTCATAATTTTTGCTATGTGGGTTGAGGCCAGCATGGGCAAAAAATTCATGAGACCCCATCTCAACTGATAGCTGGATGTCTCAGTTTTTGGTTTCACAGTATTTCAATAACAAGACCCATCTGTCAACAAGAAACAAGAACAAGAACAATTTATACAGAAATGTCTTTGAACATTAATGAAATAATGCTTAATGTATTTTAATTCTCTTTTATAGTATTTCTACATATTATTTCAAGCCTGTCCTCCTCCACGGCTTCTTTCCTTCATTCTCATTACTTTTTGGCTTCCTGCCTGTAACAGCCTGCCCTGCTGTGGAGCTCCCTGCTCTCCTGTCCCAACACTGGACACAGACCCCCACCCCCAACCCGGGCACTCTATTCCCAGGTGTAATGCTTTTTTTCAGAGAAACATATAACTCTATTCCAAACCACCTTAGTTAGAAAGTTGAATGTCCTGCACAATGTTCATCTCTGGGAAGTGAGTCTGCATGTCATAGGATTCCTCCCAATCTATCACCATTTTCAATCAGAAGAAACATTCATTTTGGCTCAGAAGATAACACTGGCTTCAGATGGAATTAATTGAAACTTGCACTATAGCTCTTTAATCAAAATATAGTACAAAATTGGAAGTACTAAACTTTCCCACAACCAGCTAATAAAACAGAAACCTAAAGAATGTTTTGAATTTTCTTGAAATGTATCTTCCAAATTCATTTCAGTGCAAAACAGGCATATACATGTATACAATGTTATAAATGTGGAAGCTGTGCTGTACGTAGGTGCCACAAACACAAAATGAGATGCTTGCCTTCAAGTTCTGAATTCAATGGGTTTGGAGTCAAGGTCAAGAGAACAATTTTGCTTTGCTATGACAGGAGGCATAATGATGGGGATGATCAGTGAGAACGAAAATGGCTGCTGTAGCAGGAAGAGGGACAGCGAGACTCTCCAGGGGTCCTTGAGTCAGTGACAGGATGGTCACAGACTTGGGTTGTAGGTGAGCCAGTGGATGCATCTTTATAATGAGGGATGACCTGGGAATGTTAGACTCCTCCTGAAAATTAAGGTTAACAAGGATTTAGAGTATGATGGAAATAGTGTCCAGTATATCTTCGGCAGATTGTAGAAATAACACTGATATAGAGGAGGAAGAAATGGGATTCACCAGGAAGGTAACTTCTCAAGCAGGAATTTCCCAGGAGCACAAAAAACTCTCTGGGTTCCCTCTTCAGTCATGCACATTGTGTTGCTGAAGCCATTAGAAGTCTATAGTAGCTACAGTGGGTCCATCAGTGCACTTTACTGAGATAGTTCCCCAAAGAAGAAAAGTAGACAGTACTAATGGGAATAGAAAGGAGGAAGCTGGGGGTTGAGGATGTAGCTTAGTGGTAGAATGTGTGCTGAGCATACATGCACAAGGCTCTGGGTTCAATCACTAGCACCACAGGGGGGGAATAAAAGGAAGCTGATTACAGTGACATTTTAACAGTAAGGAAATACTAAATGGTTTGATTCTGGAGTAATATGTAAAGATAAGATTCTTTGAAATAAATAGTCTTAGTAGTTTAGTATAATGTTAAGAGCATGAACTTTGGAGGGCTGGTAGAGTGACTCAAGTGGTAGAGCACCTGCCTAGCAAGTATGAGGCCCTGAGGCCAGGCACTGGTGGCTGAAATCTGCAATCTTAGCTATTCAGGAGTCAGGGATCAAGTAGTTTGTGAGACCCTGTCTTGAAAAAACACATCACAAAGAAGGGCTAGTAGAATGGCTCAAAGTGTAGATCCTGAGTTCAAACCCCAGTACTGCAAAAAAAACAAAACATGAACTTTAGAACCAAAGTTTACAATTCAAATTATATTGCAATAGCTGTTTAGATATTTGACTTTAAACTCCTTGATCTCTTTGTACTTCCTCATACATTTCTGTAAAATGAAAATTATAATAACATGTACCTCATGGAGTCAAGTGAGTTAATACTTGTAAAGTTCTTATGATACTACCCATCATAGAATACACACTATATAGTTTTGCTGTTATTATTTTATCTAAAGCACATAAAACAGTGTCTGGCTCACAGCAGGTACAATAGAAGCACTTACATTGTAGTCAGTTGAGAGAACTGACTGAAAGTATAAAGGTGTGCATTGTCAAGGCAAATAGGTAGAGTTAAGGGTGAAGACTGTGACCATGTAACTGAAACAAAAGAGCTGGAGAGAAAACAAGATTTGGATTCACTAGTCCTGATCTGGGACAATTCTGTATGTTGTGAGGAAAGGAAATAGAGTAATGACAAGGGGAGCTAAGTTTGAAGAGTGATTTGAAGGAGCTTGCATGAAGAGACAAGAAAGAATATTAAATCCCCATGGGTTATTATAACAATTTGTTAGCTAATCTCTCAGGATTTCTTTAGTTGTATTGTTTCAAGAATGGATTTTAGTCTTCTCATATAGGAAGCAATTTCACTTTGTTTTACTTTTTGTTTATATATTATGTTTCAATTCTTTAAATTTTGTTTTTAGAAAACACATGTAATAAGTATATGGGTACTTTGTATTTAATCTTTAGGAAAGCTATTTAGTGATTTTGAGGACTTCTCTGTGGAGGCTTCCTTACATGTGCCTCACTACTATGTTTTACCACTTGTTTTGGTTTACAAAATTTGTTATCACTTTAGTAAGTTTTGGAAACATAGTTCTACAAAAATCAACTTTTTAAAGGATCAGTTGTCTGAATAGAAACATCCTTTTATACAAATGTTAAATAGGAGATAGAAACTTGAATTTCAAAATATTTTATTGACATTGAATTCTTTTCATTAATCATGAAAATGGGTACCATTTCCTCTGTGTAGGAATGAATTAGACACCCTTTGTCCTAAAGCTGGTAATGCTCATTTCTTTGCAATCTTAGCCCTCTTGTTTTGGAACAACTTTTTCTCTTAATCTTTCAATGGAGTAACATGCCTGCTTCTTCATCTTCTCAGTTACCCCTGAATAAAGAATAGACTAAAATATGATTTTAAACCTGCTTAGGACTTAATCTGGGCAAAATAACACTGGACATGTATGCCATGTTCTCTACCTTCTATACCTGTGGCAGAAATTGCTAAGTATTCTTTGAATTATTTCTCACAGATTCTGTATTGTTTCAAAATCTGTTTCATCAGATTTGTAGCAAGTACCTGTTAAATCCACAATAATTTTTCAGTGTAAAGTATTATGCTAAGCATGTTTTACATGTATATATAAATATATGTAATATATATGTCATATCTAAAGCTTATATAGCTTTAAGTATTACAATAGCCCTATGAGGTCTTAAAGATGAGAATACTGAAGATATGAGAAGAAAACTTGCTCAAGGTCGTAACAGCTGAAAAGTAGGAGAACCAAGATTCAAATACAGTTCCACTTTCCTTACAAAAATCTCACTTGACAATTGCATTTTAATTATTGGTACTAATGATGAAATTCCATTGCAATCCCTGTGATGAACTTGACAATTTAACTTTCAGGATCATGAATATATAATAGGAAAAAACAAGGAAACGTGAAACTATCAATATAGATTGTTTTGAAGGAATAAAGAAGGTGAACTAAAAAGAGGGAAGAAGAGATTGTAGGCACAGAGAATGTCAGGCAACAAAGAAAGAAAGAGTAAAGGAATTCCTGAAGAAGGTAATGAAGCAAACTTATAAAATAAATAATTAAAAGATAGCAGCAAAAAAGTCATATGAAAAGATAATTGTGTTAAAATTGGTAACTGATTATAATAGAATGTAGTTACATTTCACCATGAAGTACATGCATATATACACAGTGTTTAGAAAAGGCATAACAACCTGAAAATGCAGGTCTATAATGAAATTCATCAACTATAATTGCTATCCACTTTTTATGGTAGCACTATAATTATAATATATGTGCAAGTGGTCTGGATGAAAAATTAGGACAGTCAAAATATTTATAATGTTCCGTAAAGGAAAAGGTGTAACATCTCTATGAGCAACATTGAATTGCCTATTAACTATTGCCTCTGATTTTGGTTTTGTTTAGAGTCAGTAAAAGAAGATAACCAAACCTAGATATAGTTAATTTACAAGAAAAAAGCATCAAATTTTTCATGATTTTGTGCAAAGAAATGTAATTTTCTTAATGTCTGCATTTATTCTTTTATCTAGCTGTGGGTACCCAAGACACATCATTGACTGAGGCTGTAGAGCAAGTTGCAAAACAACAACAATCACAAATATCAGAAATAGAAAAAAACAGAAAAGTTCTATTCCATTTGCAGGTAACTAATTTCATTTAATCTTTTAAATCTCTTTGCAGTTTCTTTAAAACTATATTAGTGACAGGAAAATTATTCCGAATACTTAATATTGGTATAAAATTTAAATTCATATTTAGTCCCTCAATTTTTCCGTTCTCCCTAACTGAAGTCTATATGAGTATTCCAGGTTTATGGAAGTATAAAGCTTTGGTATAAAGATTCAGCAGTGTCATTGCATCCATAGTGTAATACATAAAACTCAACATGTCACATAGAGTCTTTTAAATTTACTACTATTTGGTAGGTTTTTTCTAAAATGATGAATTCAAGGAAAGTTACATTGTAAGCCAGTAAAGCTATGACTTGTGAGTCACTAGGTGTCAGTGAATATTTCAAGCAGCCTCTGTATGTTCCCTCCCTTTCATAATATTCATAATCCCACTGCAGGGAACATGGGAGCCATTCTTGGTCTTTGCATGAAGTGTAATTAAATATATGTGTATTCTGTGAATATGACTACAGAAATTAAAATGAAAACAGTATTTTGTATTTTGTAAGGATTTTTTGTTAAATATAGCATAAAAATGAAAAGAATAGGCTATAGAGCATGAATTGCCTTGTTTGAAAGGCCAGATTTGCAGTTTTTAGCTCTATGATTGAATTTGTGCCTCTGTTTCCTCATTTGTAAAATGGAGATAATAATAGGACCTGCCTCTAAGGTTTTCATGAGGAGTAAATAAGTGAACTTGTAAATGTATGTAAGCTATCCTTGATGGGGCTCTGGTGGACAGTATGGGGCCTGATTTTGACATTGGCTTTTAAGTATTAATGTACTAGCAGGCATATGATGATAATTACATTAATGTGGTAAATGACTTCTTATTAATCTTTGCATTATGTTGGCCAATTATAAAAATAATATATTCATACAATAGAATATAATACAAGAATAATGTATTAAATTTCTATAAAAATTTTGTTAAACTTTTCAATCTTAAAAGGTTTCACAGACATTATTTTCACTTAAATTGAGAGCCTAATTTTCAGGTATTTTGCTAAACATTGTCTATATCCTTGTATTGTTCATCACCTACTGTGGAAAGAGACAAGGAAGTAAATAAGTAATTACTTGCAGGTAATCATATCAACAACACAACAGAGGCAAGGCCCCAACACATATTTAACACTGAAGAAGGAATGATGACAAAAAAAGTGATGTTTCAAAGTTGAGTTTTAAAGGACAGCTGGAGTTCACCTAAATGATTGGGTTTCTGGGACCAGTTTAAGGGTTTATAGGTAGGGAGGATGATATTCCAGAGAAAATTCACAGAGGCCTTGAATAGTACTGGCATAGTCATACTTCCTGTAATGTTTTCTAGCACCAGCAAATAATTTTCTAATTCTCCAAACACCAACTGAGTGTCCAACAACTCAATTCACTGTCTGGAGTTACCATTAGACCTCACTAATTAAGGGGTTCAGTCCAACAAGACTGCCCCTACTTCAGGTGTCAATTACTAGTCACAGACTGCCTATGCTTCTGAGCAACTGACTATAATCAGGGATTTCTTTGACCCTTTGGCCAAGGTTTGATCATTTGTTAGAGTGACAGGACTCAGGAAAGCTTATTACTTACTATTACTACTTTATTATAAAGGATCTAATTCAGGAACAGCCAAATAGAGAAGATGTACTGGGCAAGATATAGAAGGGAATTGTGCATGGAGTTTCTATGCTGAGCAAACCACTCTCCCAGCACTTTGATGTGTTCACCAACCTGGAAGTTCTCTAAACCTTTTCATTTAAGAGTTTTTATGGTGATTCCATCAAGTTGGCATGATTAATTATTAACTCAATCTCTAGCCCTTCTCCCACTCCCCTCCTGAAAGGCCGGGGGCGGTAGGGCTGATAGTTCTAATAATGGCTTGGTCTTTCTGACAACCTGTCCCCATCCTGAAGCTCTTTAGGGGACCATGAAGAGTTGCCACATTAGAACAAAAGATGTCCTTATCACTGTTTATCTCTTAGGAAATTCTAAGGGTTCTAGTAGCTCTGTACTAAGATATAGAAACAAAACCCAAATATCTTTCTATGACACCACACTACCTGATTTTAATATTTATTATAGAGCACAATAAACAAGACAATGTGATGTGGTCTAAGCATAGACATATAGATCTATTGGACAAAATTAACTGCAGAAATAGCCCCATATATATCAATTGACTTTTGAAGAGGTATTAAGGCAATTAATTAAAGAAGGATAATCTTTTCATCAGAAGTTAAAGGAACAATAGGATATTATCACATAAAAAGAAAAAGATAATTAAAAAATCCTCAGATTTCATCTTGTACTATGTAAAAATATTGGCTCAAAATGAATCATAGACTGAATGTGGTGGCACATGCCTGGAATCCCGGCATCCTGGCTGAGGGTGGAGGATAATAAGTTTGAGGCCATTGTAGGCTATATAGCAAATTTCAGGCTAGCCTGTGGTACATAGTGAGAACTTGTCTTAAAAACCCAGGGGATGCAGCTCAGTAATAGAGTACTTGCCTTGTATGCACAAAGACCTGCCTTCTGTGCCCAGCACCTGAGACCATGGGAGGAGGGGGAAATCACAGGCCTAAATGTAAGAGCTGAAACTATAAAACATCTAGAAGAAAACAATAAAAAAAAATCCTTGATGTTGATTTTGGCAATGATTTACTTAATTGGATGCAAATTTTTTAAAAACTTAATTTCATAAAAAATTTTTTAAGTTGACTTCAAAATATACTGTTAGGAAAATAAATGTGAGGAAAATAAAAGGTGAGGCCACCTTTGTGTACTTAAGTTGTCACAGACTTTGGGAAAATACTTGAAAACATATCTGACAATGTATTGTATGGATGTATATCTCATTAGATTGGCTTAACCTTAAAAAACTGTCCATACCAAATACTGCAATAGGTATGGAATTCTCACACCTATTAGATGGAATGTAAAATAACACAACCACTTAGGAAACTAATTTATACTTTCTTAAAAAGTTAAACCTATCATTACCATATAATCCAGCCCTTCAACTGCTAGGGGTTTTAACCCAAGAAAACTTAGTGTGTATGCCCACTGGAAACCACAAAAATTCCCATAATTAGATGAATGGATAAACAAAGTATAGTATATTCATAAAATGGAATACTAATCACCTATAAAAAGGAATAACTACTTATCTACACAACAACATAGGTAAACCTCAAAATAATTATTGTATCTAAAATGAGAGAAAATAAAAGAATATATGACTATACAGAAATTTTTAAATCAAACTAATTTTTAGTGATACAAAGTAGCTGTTGCCTAGGAATGGAGAGATATGGACAATTGCTTGCAAAGTGCAGAAGGAAACTTTTGTGGGTAATGGATATGTTTATTATCATATTGTGGTGATGGCCTCATAAGTATATAAGAATGTCAAAATTCATCATTTGCAAAGTTCAACTATGTGGGGTTTGTCTCTAAAGCAATAAGCATACAAAAAGAACAGAGAAGAGAGAGAAAAGGAAGAAAAGTGGAAGGTAAGAAGAGGAGAAAGAAGAAGATGGATTAATAGTGGCAATATAATTCTAGTGTAAGTGTGAAAGTGGATCAAAAGAGAAAGATACAAAGCTAACAAAAAATTTAACAGTCTAGCTAGGCACTAATGGCTCACACCTGTAATGTTAGCTATTTGGAAATAAATCAGGAGGATCATGGTTTGAGGCCCTCTTGAGCAAAAAAAAGAAGTTCATAAGACCCCTATCTCAACCAATAGTTAGGCACGGTGGTATGCATCTGCCATCCCAGCAGTGGCAGGGAGCCTAAAATAGGAAGATCATGGTCCAAGCTGGCCTAGGCAAAATATGAGCTGTTATCTCAAAATTACCAGAGCAAAAAGGGCTGGAGGTGTGACTCAAGCAATAGAGTACCTGCCTAGCAAGTGCAAAGCCCTGAGTTAGAACTCTAGTACCACACACACACACACACACACACACACACACACATTTAACAGTCAACAACATTAGTCCAAAACAGAAAAGAGATGGCCAAATTAATGGAAATGTCACCTTTCCCTACAGTGATCAATAGAATTGATAACCTAATGTAACTGGCAGAACACTTGTCTCTTTCCTGACCCTTATGTGTGCAGCACTCATTCACTTATTTAATAAATAGTTACTGGGCATCTATTTTGTGCCTAGTTCTGACTTAAGCCTTGGGAAGATAGTAGTGAAGAAGACAGATAAGGTTCTTGCAGTCATAGAACTTACTTCCTAGTCAGGGTAAGCAAGCAATAAAGAAATAAATAAAAGGAAAATAATTTCAGAGATTGATTTGTTACACAGGAAATACAATATAATAATGTGTAGAGAGTAACTGGGGTTACTGGTTAGTTTGTTTGATTCAGTGAATCAACAATAATAAGAAAGCTGATTTGTGAAAGACAATGACCCAGCAGGTAATAGCTTGGGATAGAGAACTTTAAGGTAGATGAATTACAAATGCCTTTAGGTAGGAGGGAACTAGGCATATTTAATAAGCAGAAAGGAGGCAAAAAGAGGGGAGACTAGTAGATAGGAAGAATGGCAAGCAGATAGGGATTAAAGCATGTATGACCTTATAATTCATTTTAAGGAATTTGAATTTTATTATTGAAGCAATAAAACACTTCTGGAGGACCTTGAGCAGGTATGTAATGTATTAATGATTTAAAAAGATTCTTCTGCTTGATACATGATGCCTAATTGTGGAGAGTGGTAGGAATGGACATGGGAAGATGAGTTAAAAGTGAGTTATCACAAATATTGGCCAGAAGTAAAAAAGGGGTTTTTTGGTGTGTGTGTTTGTGTGTGTGCTGCTGGGGATCAAACCCAAGGCCACATTCATACCAAGCAAGTGAGTTACATTTCAGCCCTAAATTAGAGATTTTATGTTGGAGCCCCAATCATCAAGATTTGCTGGAAAATGGATTATAGAGAAAAAGGAAAGAAAAGAATTAAGAATGACTTCTAGGTTTTGAGTATCTAGGGAGAAATGATACTGTTTATTGAATCAGAAGGGTATGGGAAGAACATATTTGGTGTGTAAATTATTTTCTAAATATGTATAGTTGAGGTATCTGTTAGATTCCAAATAGAAATGTCAAGTGGACATTTGAAATACTAGAGCCAAAGATAAAAAAATTGAGGTTCATCAGCATGTCACATTTTTCAGTGTACTTACCTCTTGTTTTTGCCAGGAAAATGATAGAGTTTGCCTTTTTAACACAATGCCTTCCCTCCAACATTACAAAGTAATTTAAAGAGAATGACAATACTAGATAGAAAAAAGTATGAAGAATGACCTCCAGAGTTATTTTGATGAGAGGATCTATAGAATTTGGTGATAGAGATATCTAGTAAAGAAAAGAAGGTTGATCATGGTGGTACATGCCTCTAATCCCAGCTACTCAGGAAGCAGAGACTGAAGGACCACAAGTTTGAGGCTACCCAGCAAAGTTTGCCAGATCCTATCTCAGAAATAAAATACAAAGAGGGAGGGGACATGTAGCAAGAGGTAGAGCACATGTAGCACGAGGCTTTAGGTTCAATCCCCAGCAAAAAAATTTTAAAAAGACAGAAAAAGAAAGAATTAAAGATGTCTCCCAAGATGGTACTATTAACTACGTGAGGATATTGGAGTGTGTTAATTTGCAACTTGGTCCCAATTATTCACCCTTTGCCATATCATTACAATATGTTCCCATCATGGGTAGGTACACTTCCACCCCCTTTATTCTGAATTTGATCATGTGACTACCTGGGATGTTAGCAGATGTGATTTAAGTAAAGCTTTTAAAAAACTCTCATGCCTAGGCCAGCCTACTGGAACATGATACACATAAAGCAGAGCCAAGACACCCTAGTCAGCCCAGTTAAAGCCAACTGAAGGGTGGGAGGTAAAAAGCTAAGGGAGAGCAATGGAAGGGGTTGAATGGACCAAAATAAAGTAGACTCAAGAGGGGGGGCACATTGGGAAACCCCTTGGAACATCGACTTAGATATTAATAACAAAGGACAGGACTATAAAATAGGTACAGTGTGTGTGTAGAGGGGGATGAATGAAGGAGACTAAGGAGAGGGTATATGGTAGATGGACTTCATATACTTATTGAAATAGAACAAGAAACCTTAAAATTGCTTTAAGTGGGGTGGGAATAGAGTAGAGGGGAGAGATGGTGATGGTGATCTAATGAATCCCCCCCTGTACAATGAATATATCCTAATAAAAAAAGAAGGAAAGCTAACAAATCATCTTACAACCAGTCAACCCCCAGATCTTTTTTTAATTTATTAAGTGAATAAATATCGAAATTTCAAATGTACTTACATTTTTAAAAAACATAGCATACCTATATGTTGATCTACTTAAGAAAAATAAAAATTACAAATTTAGGGCCAAACATAACTCAGTTCAAAACCAGGATTCAACACATTAGTTTATTTCCTTTATTTTTTTAACATCTCAAAAGCTCAGCTTCATCATCTGTATAGTAAGATTAATAATGACAATGATTGAGGACTTTCACAACTTATCTGTACCATTCCTCCTCTTTTTTACCTTTTACGTTAGTAAACTGGATTAAAAACTGTGCTTAGTTTCATATGGAGCTATTTAGTTCTTTCCTTTTTTAAAAATGCCAAGAGGAAGAACAAAATAAATATATTTCCTATTTAAAAGAGCTTAAATATTTTTGCTGGAGTCATTTTTAAAACAAATGTAACAGCCCCAAGATATTTGAGCAAGATCAGCAGAACCACCCAGAAAATCCTCACTGCTCCCAGCCATATGGATCATCTAGCCACCCCAAGTACTCCCAGTCATGTCCATAATAAACACCTGGTTACTGTTGCATGGCACTGAGGTTTTGTGGTTCTGGCAATGGATAATGGATACAAGGGGAAATAGGCTAGGGAGGGAGGCAAGATAATCCGATTGTTGGACATGATGAAGTTGAGGTGACCAGTGGTCACAGGGTATAGAACACAAGAACCACTTATATTCTGTGAACCATCAGCAAATACATAGTTCAAGATGTGAATATGGATGACACTGCCAAGGAGCATGTATAGAGTGAGAAGAGGAAATTATGGTGACTGAACACTGAAGAAGACCTATATTTGAAGGAATCATTGAGATTGAGAAGGAGTGCTCAGAGTTAGCTAAGGAAAACCAGAGAAGAATGGTGCTGTGAAAACCAAGTTTTAACAAGGAGGCACCAGTTAGCAATGCCCAGTGCCCAGGGAAACAAAGTAGATATTTTATGCAAATGAAGAAAGTGAGGTTTGAATGGGGTATTCAGCTTGTTATGCATAATCATACAAGCAGTAAGCAGTAAGGGTGATGGAACCTAGATCTTTCGATTCTTAAGTCAGAGCTTTATGATTTTTATCATGTTGCTTTTCTTGAATATATATTTCCTGTATTCGTAACTATATTACTGAAATCATTGTTAAGTATTTTTTTTACACATAAAATGTTGAAGCAAGTGGGTGCCGGTGGCTCATGCCTATAATCCTAGCTACTCAGGAGGCAGAGATCAGGAGGATTGCAGTTTGAAGCCATCCCAGGCATAATAGTTCATGAGACCCTATCTGGAAAAAATCCATCACACAAAAAGGGCTGGTGGAGTGGTTCAAAGTGTAGGCCCTTGAGTTCAAACCTCAGTACTGGAAAAAAACAAAGTTGAAGCAAAATAATACTTTTAATGTTTAGAATTAGATAAACATGAAAAAGTAAGAAATATATAACTCTGAAACCCTTCTGAGATTATCACATAATTGTGTTACACTATTGCATATTTCCTTCTATTCATCAGGTGTTTTCTGTATATATGATAAATACATTTTCTGATGTTAAATGATTTTCCTACATGTATAATGGATCAATGACTTTCCTCTTGTGCTGAATACCATGAATTAATAATGATGATGTTGAAATATATTACAGAATGAACTTCATGAGCTTGAAAAACAAATAGCAGCTGTCTCTGCAGAAACTAAAGAAACAGAGAGGCAAATTTATCAGCAAGATACTGCAATGGAGAATTCCAAATTTCAGTGTGGACTTCTGGAATCTCAAATCAAGTCCTTATATACAGAAAATATAAAGCTTAAAATTGATACAGAAACAGCTCAGGAAGATTTTCAGGAGCACATGATAAGACATAATGAATATTATGCAAAAATGAAAGCACATAGAGATAGCTTGAAGGAAATAGAAAGCAAATGGCCATGTATGACTGAACTCAGTGAAAAACGAGATTGCATTAAAAAACTAAAGATAATGAAAGAGGAACTAAGACAAGATCTCCAAAATCCAGGAGGGAACAAAATAAAACAAATACAGGTTTGAATTATTATGTATGAAAACTTTTTCTGTACTCTTTTTTGTAAGTACATATAGTAAAATTTATAAAATACCCACACCTGTTTTGCAACATTTAGAAATTATTATCACCATTTTAAAGGACTTGAGTAAGTATAGAACTTATGTAAAAACTAGCCCAATGTACAAATGCATAAAGGAGATATTTACAGGTTTCCTGTGGATTTATTAAAAACATGATTGAACAAAATCATTGTGAACAATTAATCTGTTTGTTGCAGAAAGTGTAATTCACAAAAATGTTGAGGCTCTAGCTTCTATGCTAATGGATTCAGACCAATTCAAATCAATTTAGTGTGTTTAATGCTATTATGCAAATAATTGGAATTAACCATTGCACCTTAAACATCTTTGTATGTCTCTTGCTATATTCTTTGAACACCATAAAAGATACAAACTTAAAGTATATACCATTTCTCACTAAAGGATTAAAAAGTATCCTTTGCACTATTGTCAGGCAATTGCCATCATAACTACAGTTTTTCTTTGTCTTATTTTCATTGTTTTCAAATCTAAGATTGATTAGTTTGAGAAATAGTTCTTTATCTGTATGCTTATGGAAGCAACCTAATCCTATTGATTAAATTTTGAGTTTTCGTAAATTAGGGCAGTGCCAAAAGTCTAAAATTTATATTGACCATTCCTTTTTTACTTGAATTTTTTAATTTTACAAACCTATAGGAAGACATGTCAAAGCTAAAGAATGAAATTATAATTATTAAAGAATCTATCATTGAAAAAACTTGTTTTCTTGATGAAGAAAGAAAGACACATAAAAAACTAAGAAAAGAAATAGAGGTAAGTCTTAATTACCTAGACTTCAATGTTTTATGAGACTATTTTTTTAAGCTTATGCTAGTTTCATATTTCCATAGTTTACGCTCAATTTTAAAAATAGAGAATAATAAAGGACTATAGAATTCAGATATTCAAATCATCAGTGGATAAGAGATGAAATATGTGGATGTATTCAAGCAATTACACTTACTCCTATTTAAATCTGATCTGTGCTATGTGTGGAGTACACCTGGAATACTAGCACTTGGGAGGCTGAAACAGGAGGATCAAGACTTTCAGGCCAGCCTGAGTCCCCATTTCAAAAAAAAAAAAAGATTGACCTAGGATTCTTCCAGGCCTCATTCCACCAAGTTGTCACCTAATTAGTGGCTAGGAAACATATGGTAGGTAGTCAGAAAGAATGACCATTCTTTCATTCAGAGACTCCTCAAAATAGAATAAAAGACATTAGAAAATGTTATTATAAACCTTTCTGATTTTGTACCTGCAGTTACTAAGAGTCAAGTAAAAACAAACTGATCTGCAAAATCATAAGTAAGACTAAATTCTCAAAAGTATTGTACCACCCAAGGCTTCAATGTCATTGTTATTTACATGAATAGAGAACAAATATGGAAAATAAGAAGATGCACATTTTAACTTGCTTTTGACTAATTTAACACATAGAAAAGCATGTGAGGAACTTGAAGATTAAAACCTTAACCTTATCATATTTTCTATAAGAAATACCATGATTTTTACCTTATAGTTTAGTAGGAATTTAAGTCAACTAGGTTCTTTTTGTTTTTTGCTCTTTAACACATCAAAATTTGTTAAAATAAGATAGCATATAGGTGATATAAAACTAGAAAATGATTAATGAAATAGAGAAAAGGATCTAAAACTAACCCATGCATAAATCGTATAAGCAAGATAGGTTAAACTAAATAGAAAAATAAAGAAAATGTGAAATAATATTGATTTCTATCTCATAATACACATATACATACATAGTCTTCTAAGAATATTAAAGAAATATGGAGAAAATGTAACCATCTGTGTCAAAGAATCATTTAAAAAGAAAAAAAAGCCCCCATAAACTCTATGGTTGAATATTTTCACTTTTGAGATGTCATATGTTTCTAGATTATGAAAGTACATCATAACAATAGAGAAGATAAATTCAGCTTGAGAGAACACTTATATATAAATGATAAAAAGATAAGAAAATATTAAACATTGGGTAAATGACATAGAAAGACTGGGTTTTTTTGGTGGTACTGGGGTTTGAACTCAGGACCTCATGTTTGCTAAGCAGATGCTCTAACACTTGAACCACTCTAACAGTCCTTTTTTGTACTGGGTATTGTTGAGAAATGGTCTCATAAACTATTTGCCTGGGCTAGCCTCAAACTAGGATCCTCCTTATCTCTGCCTCCTGAGTAGCTAGTATTATAGATGTGAGCCACTGTACCCAGGTGAAAAGACCTATTTTTTGAAATATGAATATCCAAACACTATTGAAAATATGACCAGCCCCATTAATAAAAGATTGACCACTTAAACCACATTGATGCCCCATATTTACTATCAATATTACAGTTGGTAAAATGTAGGGCAATGAATTTTAATACACTAAAGAATTTGAGATTACCTAAGTAGTTTTCTTACACTAACATATTTTATCAAGGTATAGTTGTCATAAAAGTAAGTATGAAGATTGTAAATGTTTGGCTTGATTATGTTGGCTTATGCATGTGTGTATGTGTGTGATGTGTATGTATATTGGTGTTCCTATTGCCTAGGTCAAGGTATAGAACTTCCCCAGCATGTCCAGAAGGTTGTTTTGTGCCTCTTCTATCTGGCAACTCTAATTTTCAACATCTTTATTGAGAAATAACTCATATACCATACAATTCACCATTTTCAGCATATAATTCAATGACTTTTAGTATATTCACAGATATGTGCAATCATCACAAAAGTCTAGAAATTTTCATCACCTCAAAAAGAAGCCATGACTTCTCCATGTGTCCCCACTTAACTTTTTTTTTTTTGCAGTACTGGAGCTTGAACTCAGGACCTATACCTTGAGCCACTTCACCAGCCCTGTTTTGTTTTATCTTGTTTTGTTTTGTTTGTGATGGGTTTTTTCCAGATAGGGTCTCGTGAACTATTTGCCTGGGCTAACTTTGTTCCTCCTGATCTCTGCCTCCTAAGTAGCTAGGATTATAGGTGGGAATCATCAGCACCCAACTCGTATTTTTGCTCCTCCATTGTCTTTCTTCCATCTGATATTCTAAGATTCTTTCCTTTATAGTTTCTTTTCTCTTTAGAAAACTTAAATTTCATTCTCCTAGAGTAGATGATGACACATTATATTTTTCATCTGAGAATGTCTTGATTTCCCCTTCACTCCTAAAAAGTGTTTTTTTGCAGAATGTAGAATTCTGACTTGACAGTTCTTCCCATAGTTGAAAATGCTGTGCCCCTTCTGGGCCCCATGATTTCTGATGAGAAATATGCTGTTATTTGAACTGTTTCCTTCCTTCCATATACTGGTGGGTGTTTCTTTCTTGCTGCCTTTGAGATATTCTGTTTTAGTTTCCACACATTTTACTATGACATGTTTTGGCATGGATTTATTTAGATTTATCCTATTTAGGGTTCTCTGGCCTTCTTGATTTTATAGATTTATGTCTTTTGTCAAATTTGGGATTTTTTTCAGCCATTATTTATTTGAATACTTTTTCAGCTTGTCTTTCTCCTTTCCTTGTTTGTTTCTAATGCGATAAATGTTAGTTAGATATTTTGTTACAGTCTCATGGTCCCCAAAGCTCTGTTCATTTTCTTTCTGTTGCTCAAACTGAGTAATTCCTAATTCTCCTTTCTTCTAGTTTACTAATTTCCCTCCTTTCTGTTCCTGCTAGCTACAGTTGAAATCCATTTTGATTATATCTTTTAGTTCTTCAGTTTTCATTTTGGTCTTCTCTTTATCTTCTTCTTTTTTTTTTGCCAAGGTTTTCTATTTTTTCCCAGACATGCTTGTAAATGCCTATTGAAGCATATTATGATGACTACTTTAAAGTACTCAAGAGATAATTGCAACTTCTTTGTTATACTGATGTTAGAGCATGTTACTTGGCATTTCTTAGTTTGAGATCTTAGTTTTTGGTATGATAATTGTTTTTCTATTGAAATCTAGACATATTGGGTATTATGTTTTAAGATTCTAGATCTTCATTACTTATGAGTGGTAGTTGAAGTTCAGATTCTCCTACCTGTTTCTATTGACACCCTTGCAAAGGGGGAAATGCTTCTTATTGTTGATGGTCAGGAGCAGGAGTTTTCGGCTGTCCTGATACCACCCTGACTTGGAGGTAGAGGGATGCCTTAATGTTTCTCATCTACTTTTCACTGACACTGTGTGGACATGGCTTTGTTACACTGAATGGTGTTATGGACTCCACTAGGCCCTCTCTACTTTACCCCAGCAAGGAGAGGACTTATTACTGCTTGATGAACGTAGAAGTCCAGGATCCTCAAATGGGCTCCACAATAGCAGAGGATGTGGTTTGTTACTGCCCAGAGGAGATTTAAACTCCTGAATCCCCAATTATCCCTCTGATTCCACCCCAGCAGGTGAATTAGGAACTTCAGTATAGCTGGCAAAAGTAGTTTATACTTTCCAGTGAGCCTTCACTGGTGTGGGTGATGGAGAGGCCACAGTTTTGTTCTGTGATATTTAATTTGAGTAGAGGAGTTATTTCCTGAAAATTATCTGTCTTGCTAGGCTGCTATTTTCTCATCCTTCAGCTAAAGAGAACAGTCTTTCTTGGGACATTTTTTTCTGCATTTATTGAGATTTCCAGTTTGATATATTCTTCCAAATCCTGTCTGGGATATATAGGGGAAAAGGGAAACACATACCATTCCTTAGTTTCTGAACTCCTGGGCCAGTTTGCTATCTTTTTTCCAACTTTTCAGAAGCTTCTGGTGTTTGTTTTATATTTGTTGTCTGGGGGTTTCAGTTGTACTTAACAGGAAGAATGGATATATGAAGTACATCTCCATTTTATCAGAAGCAGTATTGTAAATTGGTATTTTTAAATGGTAAAATGTGTTGTAGGTATTAACTAATGTTAGATTTTGAGGAATTGTCATTGAAGTTAAGACTTCCATTTTTAATGTTTTCATTAGAAAACTTCTTGCTCTAAAATTTAATAATTCTTTATGCCTTTTAAATAGGGATACTTATGTTAAGACTCTTTTGTGCTTTTTAATTTTATTTCTATTACTTGTAATGCATTTAAAAATGATCCTCAATTCCATTACAATATTATAATAAAAAAAGAAAATTTAAGAAAGGATCCTCCATAATAAATTATAAAATTGAAGTGCAAATACAGTCACATCATTGTCTTGAGAACATTGCTTTTCTTCAACAATTGTACTTAATGTTTGATGTGAATTTTCATTGATAAACAACTCCCTTCTCAAGACAACCCATTTTTAAAAAGAGGATGAGCTCAAATACTAGAAAATTTTTATTACTTATTTCTTCTTTTGAGTCTTTTTCTACCCCTTCTGAGTATCTTTAGCCCTGGCCCTGGTACACTTCAGGGTCATCTTTTACCAGGACCATAGCATTCTTTTGTACTAATCTTTAATGCTTTCAAACATTTTATGCATTGCATATTTTAGTTTTTATATTACTATTGCCTTTACATTTTGGTTCAGAAAAAGTAAAAATGGTTTTTGAATTTCAATGTTTTTCTATCAAATAAATGTTTTTAGCATTTCTGGATCATAATTAAATGAAAAGACATTTCTAAGTATTTATCCCCAAATGTCTTTATTTCCTGTCTATTGTCTGTTTTTATGGATTTCAGAGAAGGGAACTAGAGATAAGACAGAAGAAAATAATGATAAGCTATGAGTCATTGCTGAAAAAAATTGGGAAGCAAAAATACAAAGCATAAAAACACAAAGCTTCAAATATAAAGCATTAAGTAACAATC